CCCCAGTACCAAAAAAAAAGAAGTCAGTTCTTACATCAAGTTTCCCCCCAACTCCCACCTCTAGAGATTGCTGAGAGGCTGTAGAATTATTACATCTCCTAAAACCTCCAACGAATCAGAATTTATGAAAGCATATTATGCATAATCTATAGATCTTGTTTTACAACAAAATGAATTTAAAATCTGGACACCTAACAAAAATCTTAGAATGAACCCCTTTTCCTTTTTGTGAAAGACAAAATAGATTTTTGCATGCTCACTCTGAGGGGCCAGCCTACTCAGATGGGATGAATCCCAGCTCTTCCACACACATTCACAAAGGACTTTGCATCCCTTGATTTACTTGTCCATTGATTAAATGTCATTCAATGAAAACCACCCATAATCCCACGACCCAGGGACATTCACCGTTGGCCTTTCCTGTTCACAAAAGTCATCACATACCATGTGTGTTTTAAATTACTCAAGCATCCCAACTTCTCTGCTTCAAGAAAGTATCCAAACCTTTGCACCACTGCACAGAGCCAGCCAAAGTAGGTTTCTAAAAAACTGTCTTCAATTTCTGAAAACAATGCTTTATATATTAAGGAATGTTGGGCTGTTTTCTGCACCAGGCCCTCAGTGTTTCATTATTCGTCATGTGAGATTAGGAAATATGTTTTTCTGATTTAAATTAAGTTCCAGGGCTGTGGAGATAGCTGTCAACAAATGGGCTCAATATTTTCTTTACTGCAAACCTAAACATCCTCTTGGCTAAGTTTCTATTTCGAAACCTATTTCTGATTCTATTCAGGAGAGCTAAGAGTCCAAAGGCTTAGAAAGTAATTGCTTAAAAGAACAACTATTTAAATGATTCTTATTAAATATAAACTAAACATCCAATTTTCCAATCTAATAAAAATAAGTATGAAAATGAGTTAATCTGTCACAGATTCATACTGGAGATTTTTGATTCGATCCCATTAGGTCTGAACATGTAGTATCTATGTATATTTAAGATGGTCTGATTCTAGGAACAAAATCTCCCTGAACTGCTGCATTCTCTTACCTCCTCATTTTACATAAAGGGGGCATGTTCTTAGTGGAAGAGAGACTGTCACCATAACAAACATTGTGTAGAGAGAAGTGGTGGGGGTCACCAGTCTTTGTCAGACTTTGCCAAATATGAAAAATGAATGTAAATGCATTGACTTTAATTCTCGTCTAGAAAACAATCCTATCTCTTAAGTCCAAGCATACCCTGATTTTTTTGACCTTTTGTTTACTAACTAGGATAAAAATGCATTGTTTAAAATTTAGCTATGTCTTAGAAGAATTTTATAAGAATTGAGTTAATTTAGGCACTAGAAAGACAGCAAATGTTTTTAGTATTAGGTCTGTGATACAAAAGTCTAGCGATTAGATTTTAATGATATCTTTCTAAATTGTATTAATCTAATAGCATAAAAAAGAAACAAATACCCTTTTAAAATTTCATATTCTTATTAATTTTATTCATTCCTTCAATAGATTTTTATGAAGCATTTTCCATGGGCTACATATTCTTCTTGGTCCTGGGGAAATGAGGAGAAGAAAGGAAATATTTATTCTCACAGAGTTTATTTGAGAAAATTACTACTATAAATATTCAATTTAATAAATATTTATTGACCGTCTATACAGTATTTTCCTAACTCTAGTGTCATCTCTCTATATACAACCACCAAAGTGGTGTGTCTTCTTCCACTACTTACAATTTGAAACTATAGATAGATGGCATTTTCCTCCCTATCCTAAAACAATTCCACCCTCATCTGTATTCCTATGAGACTTTGTGTGCACCTGTTAATAAAACGAAGATCACACTACAGCAAGCTTCTGCGGCTACCCATCCATCTTCCCCTCCATGTCTCCATGAGGATACAGGCCCTGTGGTGTCTTATCCCCATGAAGAGCACAGGAGCTGAAGACAATGGAGTATATAACTCCTCCCACAGAAGACTTTCCCTTCAAGGGAGAAGGGGAAAGGGAGATAGAATAATTCATTCCTTATAAGACAAAGAATTCTTTAAGAGATGGGAAATCTGTCATGTAAATTTCATGCTAAGGGAGCCCTAGTATAATAACAGTCTTAAAAAGAGGGAGAAGAGTTATTTAACATGCTAAATGAGGAATGTTAGTTACCAAATTATAAAAGAAAAAGAAGATAACTTTCTCAGGTATTTACATTAAAACTAAGTGAAGTTAGCCAATTCCCCCCCCCACAAAAAAAAACAAATGCGGAATGTCTTCTCTGATATAAGGGGGGGGGACTCAAACTGGGGTAGGGAGGGAGAGCAAGGGAAGAAGATTACCTCTAGATAGGGAAGAGGGGTGGGAGGGAAAGGGAGGGAGAAGGGGAATAGCAAGGATGGTGGAAGGGGAGACCCTCATCATTATACAAAATACATGCATGAAGACGTGAATTTAGTGTCAACATACCTTATATACAATCAGAGATATGATAAATTGAGGTGTAAAGGTATATTAAGAATTGTAATGCAAAAAATAAAATAAATAAAAATAAAAAACCTTGAGGGAATTCAAATGTTTAGACATGACAGCCCTCCAGTCTTACACAACTGGAAATAAAGAAGCCCAAGTATGAAACAGCTGTATGTGCAGATAGGCATTTAATAAATCTTGAGAAAAAAATAATTCAGAATTCCCTCCATAATCTGAGTTTCCACGTAGGTGAATGTTTGGTCAGTAGGCCAATAAGGGTGATATACTCTACCCTCCCCTGCTCTGCCCTAAAGAACTAAAGAACTGCTCTCCCCTAAAGAACTCTCCTATCATGTTCTCATTCATCTCCCCTCTGCACAGTAATCAGTGTCCCCTGGACACTTCACCTCTAGTTACTGCTGTTATACTGAATCTGCCTACATTCCTTATCTAAAGTATGTCTTCTCTTCAGAGTTATCTCCTCAGGTCTAAACTATCTTGTGCACGGTGTGTAAGCTGTGTGCCTGAAAATCTTGCGTCACCCACAACTTGTAATATCTTTGTTAGTAACTCTACTTCCGGCTTATCTTTTCTTAAATGAGTCATAAGTAAAGTGAACAAGTGATAATGAATAGAAATTAGATACACAGAGTTGTATACTATCAGTTACTGGTAAGATTAGAACAGTCCCCATTTACTGAATGCCACGTCATAAATGATCCTAGCCTGGGATTCAAAGATCTGAAAAATTGCCTTTCGGGTGGCCAGAAATGCCACATCATCTCACAAGCGAAATAAGAATTTTATGGGACAGAAATAGAGCCAATATGGGGTCCTTAACAACAACCAGAAGGCAGGGAAGATAATGTCCTTACTTTTCTTGGTATAACTGTTTAACATTTTCTCTTCCCTATCCCAGTCCCTCCTTTCTTCCAAAAAGACTCCTTGGGGAAACAGGAAAACATTGAATGCTTTCTGAATGGAAATATGTTCTGTTTATGGAACTCCTTAAGGTCCTTTCATGTGAATTGACCATTTCCAGATTTAAATAAGAGGCGACTAGATTCATGAGAGTTTTCAGAATTGCTATGTTGGTTGCAAACCCAGGACTTCAACAGAGTAGAACTTTAATGGGAAGAGGAACTAGAGACGTTGCTCTACATGTTTTGTATTTTGGCTTTTAATATATATGGTTTTGAGTCATTGTAGAAAAAGCCTGAGGTCAAGTCCCAAATTATTATCACTGTTTCCATTGCTATAGGGACATAACAAGGTAACCAGTTTCAAGAAAACACTCTCCAGGGCTTAATTATTTGCTTATCTCAAGAAGCTGTGTAATTTACCTCTTGTGGTGATCTGATCTATAATGATCACCTTCTTTGTTTGGTTCTTAAGGACCCCAGCTGGATTGGGGGTATTGCTCAGTTGCAAAACACTTGCCTACTATGCAGGAGGCCTTGGGTTGATCCTTAGCACCACTAAAAGAAAATAAGTCTTTTAAAGGACCTGCTTTGGCCACCCTAATGCAGTGACTTGATGATGATGACATTCCTTTACAGCCTGAACTGAAAGAGCCTGCAGACCACACTCGGGCCTTCAGTACCATTGAAAGTGCCACGTTTTCCACCAAGGTTAGGTAATGAGCAGTTGTGACCCAGAGGCCAGCCTGACTCAGACTGAGTAAGAATGTTACAAAAACAGGGGAACCATGAAAATCTTTTGGAAGCTCTTGGTTTCCTCTATAAATAATGGCAGTTAGTTGTAGAACAATGAAAACAAAAACCATGACTTTTTACATGGCAAATAAGATGTTTCCATTTTCTCCATAACAGGATAAAATCTAATTATTTCACACATATTAAAATAAAATAATTTGATTTCAGTGCATATGTACATAAAAAAAATCTCCATTTTATATGCAGGCCTTTTGCATTGCAGAGTTTGAACTTTGACCCAACAATACAAATACACACATACATAAATATTATGGCAACCTTTCAAAAAAAATAATCTCAGAAGAAATGTAAAGTGAAACCAAATATAGATTCCTAAACTATTTAGGCTGCAAGTGTTCATTTTGATGAATGCCTACAGCCCTGTAATATTGCTGAGCAGACCAAAGCAAGAGAAACTGTACTCTCCCTAAATATAATATCTCAGGTACTATCCTTAAACTTTTTTAGATCTGGGTGGAAAAGTTTAAAAATATAAATACATTTTATTTTTCAAATTGCAATCACTAGAAATTCTAGCTACCAAATATAAAATGCCGTTATAATTAAATTTACATTTTCATCAATGAATTGATTGTGATAAAGTTTCTAGAATGTTCAATATGTTCACTTGGGTTCGGGACTGATTATTTTGTTTCCTCACTGGTATGTATTTTTTCCATTCTTCCAAAGTTGCAGGTTGACTGAGTCACTTAAAAAAGAAAGGTCTTACGTGCTATGTAGACTAAACTACAAAACCATTAGATTTCACTCCAATACTGATTTTCAACCAAAATACAATGTCAACTCTTGTCTTTTGTACAGACCTGTAATGCCCACGGAATGCAGAGCCTCCATACAACCTGCGCAGACCCTGAACTCAGAGTGCTCCCGGCTTTGTCGCAACGGCTACTGCACCCCCACAGGGACCTGCTGCTGCAGTCCAGGCTGGGAGGGGGACTTTTGCAGAATCGGTTAGTATTTTTGTTGTCATAAGAAAGACTGGGGAATGGGATTATTCTTAGGTTCTCAAGAACTCAGCATTAGCTATTCCTTCTAGAACCATCTAGGGTTCAGAATACAATACTGTGAATGTCTACTGGCTTCTGAACTTATACATGAAATCTTTTCCATTTCCGTAATGTAAACCATTCACGTGGGTAAGCTCATTACAACATGAGAAAACTTTAAATGACTGGAGTCCCTTCAAAAACTAAAAAAATGAAAACAGCCCAACCAGGTCATCTCTACTGGTGTTCAGCCCTGGGCCCTGAGCTCCACGCGAACCCTACCCATGTGCTAGCATTTTCCAGACACCCCATAAATGCCCTCCCTGGCTTTACTGCTCACTTTCTTGCCACATCACACTCGAAACAGGGTTTTTCAGTGAGTGTTTCTAAATAAAAAGGGAAAACGCAATTATCTGGGGGCATATTATGAGATTTTTAATTCTGTTTGCCACTCCCTTGGGAACCATTGACTAGGTTTGCAGCTGCTCAGAAAAAGCAAGGGAGATTTATTCAGGGTTATTCTATCCTTTAACATAAGATTTCCTCAATTTTGTGCAAAGTTTAAGTTCTACTTGGCGTGAAGTAGGAAAATTGGATAAATTAAAAAATGTAGAGTTTAAGATATAGATGTTAAAAATGTATATTCGACAACCAGCATATACATATTACTTAGAAAAGATTTTGACCTCTGCTATAAAAGTACGTCTTGCTGATGAGAAGCAAAGCCCCAAAATAATATTTAAGAGTATTCTTATACATATGTGCTCTTTATTGTGCTTTCTAAAGATGTATTTGTTTCAAAAGTATAACCATAACTTGTCTATTATATTGTCTAACAAAAGTAGCCAATATTTAAAGCTACACATACAATATAAATTTTAAGCTTAAATTGCCAAAGTAATTTGCAACATAAATAATATTATGTGATTGATTAGTACTATGATTGCATACCTAGGAAAGAACTCTCCTAATTAAAACTCAATAGAAATTGCATAATTCCATTATCTAAGAAGAGTGCTTTCATTTTATTGACCCACTCTGTCTCCCTTTTTGTAGAATCAGTGTCCAAGTATAATAATATTCATATATCTGATAATCTATCATCCTTCAGCTTCCTTTGATTGACAGTACTGACAGTACTAACTCCATTTCTTTTACATAGAATTCATTGTGTTATAATTTTTACTTTACATTTTGTCTAATTTCTTATGTCACCTCAAGTATTCAGTTAATAGATATTTATTGAGTACCTTCTAGTAACATGTTTTAACTAAGGGTGAACAAATTATTTTGAAATAATATGTGATATAAATGAATATAAGAATTCTTTAAGTCAATATGAAGTTTTATTTCAGTGAAGAATTTTAATCTTGCCACTATTTAGTTTTAAAATGTAAGATAAGTCAAAATTATTTTATAAAAGTAATCATACAGAAAGGAGACAAAGGACTTGGGATATAGCTCAGTTGGTAGTGTGCTTGTCTTGCATGCACAAGGCCCTCGGTTCAATCCCCAGCAACAACAACAAAAAAAAAAGAAAGAAAGAAAAGAAAAGAAAAAAAAAAAGAAGGAAGATAAAAATCCCCAGTCAACCTCTGGCCCCAAGTAGGTACCAAGTGGCCCTGAAGACCCATTTCTGGACATTCACCCCTAAGCAATAGCAGAGAGAAATAACTCAAAGGCTGTGGATACCACACCTTTGAGGGGCTTCAGCATAGATTGCCCCATGTCCTTTTTGGATAAACAGTGTTGAAAAGATCAGAGGAGCAATCACAGAGGGTGTCAACATAACCTCCACTGTCTACAACACAATTGCTTGATCTACAAAAAGATCCCATTCTTGTGAGACTTACAGAGAAAGAAGGATCCTCAGGCTTACACATAGTACATATCGAGTCAAAGTGGACTAGTTGCCACCAAAGTATTATCAAAGAAACTGTACTATGAAACCCATATAGAAATATATCCAACACTTCACAACAATCCGTTATACCAAGACCCATCATCAAGAGAAGACTATGGGGGCTGGGGTTGTGGTTCAGCAGTAGAGCGCTTACCTACCATGTGCAAGGCCCTGAGTTCAATCCTTAACACCACATTAAAATAAAGGTATTTGCTGGCAGCAGGTATTGTGTTCAACTAAGTCAACTAAAAAATATTAAAAAAAAAAGAGAGAGAGAAGACTGTGACCTAAAAAGACTTCACATAAAAGTGGAAGAGAAATCCAACCCAACAGATAAACAAATCTTAACATAGAAATACAAGAAATATGAAAGAACATGGCAACATGACACCTCCTAAAGTTCATAACTCAGTACCAACTGACTCCAAAGATATTGAAGAGGATGAAATGCTAGATAAAAAATAGAAAGAATGGTTTAAAACAAGATCAATGAATTCCAAAATAACACAGAAAATAATTGGTTGAGTTAATGCAGACACTATAAGATACAGTTGAAAAATTCAATGAAGAGATAGAAATTTTGAAAAGAACTAAACATAAATCTTAGAAATGAAATCTTAATAAGCCAAATTAAAAAAAAAATCAGTGGAAAGCCCAACCAATACTCTAGAGCAAGCAGAAAACAGAATTTCAAGGCTTGAAGAAAAGGCGAATGAATTGGAAGATTCAGACAGTTGTAAAGAAAAAAATAAGTAACTATAAACAAAAAATGCAGATCTCTGGGACAACTCACTTAAGACTCTCAGGTCTTCAGAAAAGAATAGAGATACCAGATACCAGCTAATGGCATAGAAAACCTATTCCATGAAATAATAGCAGAAAATTTCCCAAATTCTGAGGATGAGATGGATACTTGAGTATTTAGATGGATACTTGAGTATTGGCAGTACTTAGAACTCTAAATAGATATGATCAAAAAAGAACCTCTCCATAACATATTGCAGTGAAAATGCCAAAAATTCAGAACAAAGAAAGAATATTAAAATGAAATTGTAGGAGAGAAGCAACAAGTCACTTTTAAAACCAAACCCACCAGAATAACAGCAGGTTTCTCAACAGAAACTCTAAAGGCCAGGAGGACATGGAATTTTGTTTTTTTAAGTGAAAGAAAATTATTGCCAGTCCAGGTTACTATATCCAGCAAACCTACCCTTCAGAATGGAGGAAGAAATAAAAAACTTCCAAGATAAGAATAAACTAAAGGCATTTATGATCACTAACCCAGAATTGCAGAGGATATTTAAAGGAATCTCACAAACAGAAGAGGAAGATAAACACAACCACAAGAGCACAGGAAAGAATAAATCTCACTAGAAGAGCAGATAAGCATATGAGATACAGGAAAGATTCAAACATTAGAAAAATAATAAAATGACAAGAATTAATACAAGTTTTAATAATAACTCTGAATGTAAATGGCCTCAATTCTTCTATTAAAAGACAAAGAATGGTGAATACAAGACAACTGTTTTGTTTTGTTCTGCCTGCCAAAAACATACCTTACCATTAACGACATACACAGATGGAAAATGAAAGAATGGGATAAAAATATTCCATGCAAATGGAGTCTGAAAGCAAGCAGGAGTAGCTATGCTCATACCCAGCAAAGCAGACTTCAAACCAGAAGAGACAAAGAAGACCAGTACATTGTGCTGAAGGGAGCAATCCACCAAGAATATGTAATTACTGTATATATAGATGCAGCAAACATCAGTAAACCCTATTTTATAAAATGAACACTACCCAGCATAAAAGGACAGAGAGGACCCAATACAATAATAGTAGGTGACTGCAATATCCCATTTTCATAAATAGGTCATTTAGACAAAAAAAAAAAAACATCAATCAACAGAAGAAGACACATTCTTACATTCTTTTAGCAGCTTATGGAACTTTATTTAGTCATAATGTAATAAAACTAGGAATCAACAGCAAAAGAAACCACAGAAACTATACAAACATATGGAGATTGAACAATACACTTTTTTTATGACCAGTGGGTTATTGAAGATATCAGGGAGGAAATGTAAAAATTCCTAGACTCAAATGGAGATGGAAACACAATATACCCTGAATCTGTGGAATATTGAAAAGGCAGTTCTATGAGAGAAGCTTATAACTATGACTGCCTACATTAAAAAATCAAAACAAGATCTCAAATAACCTAAAGATGTATCTCAAGGTTTTAGAAGATCAAGAACAAACCAAATCCAAAATCAATAGAAGGAAAGTAATAATAAAAATCAGAAGTTATACTCCACATATGTATATTACATCAAAATGCATTCTACTGTCATTTAACTAAAAAGAACTAACAAAATTTTAAAAAAAAATCAGAGCTGAACTAAGTGAAATTAGACCAAAAGAACTATACAAAGGATAAATGAAACAAAGAATTGGTTCTTTGAAAAGATAAATAAGATCAGTAAACCCTTAGCCAAACCAACCAAAAAGAAAGAGAAGATCCTAATTAACAAAATTAAAGATGAAAATGGGGATGTTTACAACAGATATCACTGAAATCCAGAGGATCCTTGAGGACTATTTTGAAAACTTATATTCCAATAAATTAGAAAATCTAGAAGAAATGGATAAATTGCTAGATAGCTATTATCTACCAAAATTGATACCAAGAGGTTATGAAAAACCTAAATAGATCAATAACAAGCAATGAGACTGAAGCAGTAAAAAAAGTCTCCCAACAAAGAGAAGCTAGAACTGTATGAATTCACTGCTTAATTTTACAAGGCCTTTAAAGAAGAACTAACCCCAATGCTCTTCAAACTATTCCATGAAATAGAAAGGAAAAGAATGTTTCCAAATTCCTACTACTAAGGCAGTAGCCTTCTAATACCAAAACAAGATAAGGAAACAACAGAAATAAAAGGAAGGCAGGAAGGAAGGAAGGAGGGAAGGGAGTGAGGGAGGGAGGGAAGAAAATTAGCAACTAATATCCCTGATAAGCATAGATGCAGAAATCCTGAATAAAATACTTTCAAACTGAATTCAGCAGCACATCGAAAAGATCATACACCATGGTTTCATCCCAGAGATGGAAGGATAGTTCAATATAAACAAATCAATAAACATAATAATACCACATAAACAGAATCACAGGTAAGAATCACATGATCATGCCAATAGATGCAGAAAAAGCCTTTTACAAAATTCAACATGGTTTCATGATAAAATCCCTGAAGAAAAAAGATATAGAAGGATCTTACCTCAACACAATAAAGGCTATATATGGCAAACTTAAAGCCAACATTATATTTAATGGGGAAAAACATGAAATCATTTCCTCTAAAGTCATGACTGAGACAAAGAAGTTAACTCACTCAACACCCCTATTCAGTATAGTCCTTGAAAGTTTAGCTGGAGCAATTAGGCAAGAGAAAGCAGTAAAAAGGTATAGAAATAGGAAAAGGAGTCATCAGATTATTCCTATTACAGAAGAGATGATCCTAGGCTTAGAAGACCCTAAGTTTCCACCAGAAGACTCCTAGAGCCCATAAAATTAGCAAATTAGCAGGATACAAAATCAATATAAGGATTAACAACTTTCCTATACACTAATTTATAACAAACCTGCTGAAAAAGAAATCATTCCATTCACCATAGCTTTAAAAATAGTAAGATGCCTATGAATAAATCAAACCAAGGGGTAAAAGACCTATTCAATGAAAATTATGGAACACTGAAGAAAGAAATCAAAGAAGTCACTAGAAAATGGAAACACCTCCCATTTCCATGGATCAGCAGAATTCATATTGTTAAAATGGCAACATTGCTGAAAGCCATGTACACATTCAGTGCAATCTCCATCACAATACCAATGGCAGGATGGTTCACCCCTGTAATCCCAGCAACTCGGAAGGCTGATAAAGAAAACGGGTTTTAGAGGAAATGATTTCATGTTTTTCCCCATTATTCAGCTGTAAGGAAGGATGAAATCATATCACTTATAGGAAAATGGATGAAAATGGAAATCATATGGTTAAGTGAAATCAGACAGACTCTGAAAGACAAATCTTAGATATTTTCCCTCGGATATAGAATCTGACATGAAAGTTGTCACAGGGAGTCTATTAGAGAAAAGCTTGGGGGGGGTTGACGAATATGATCAAAGTATGATATATATATATGTGTGTGTGTGTGTGTGTGTGTATTTATATATATACACTATATATATATTTCATTGTAGTATATATATACTACAATGAAACCCATTATTTTGTATGATCAAATGCACTAATAAAAAAATTTAAGATTAGGCTGGGCACAGTGGCACACACCTATAATCCCAGTGGCTTGGGAAGCTGAGGTAGGAGGATTATGAGTTCAAAGCCAACCTCAGCAAAATTGAGGCACTAAGCAACTCAGTGAGACCCTGTCTCTAAATAAAAAATACAAAAAATAGGGTTGGGGAAGTGGCTGAGTGGTTGAGTTCCCCTCAGTTCAATCCCTGGTACATCTACACACACACACACACACACACAAATTAAGATCTAAAAAGAACATTTTTTTTTAAAAAAAAAAAAAAGAAAAACAAAAAACTTTTTTAAAGTTATCTATTCAGGATATTTTTGTCCCAAGCAGGAATTTGATTTGTATATGCACATGGTTTATTCATCTCTCAAACATTTAAAGAGAAATTGTCTTTATTTTCTTTTCCATGTGTCAACTGCAGACCTCTGGATTTTGAATAATGTGTTCAGAAAGGTGAAAATGACCTGGCCAAAGTATAGAGAAATGTATTCAAGGAATTTGAATCTGTCTGTAATAGCTGCACGACCCAGATTTATCTTATCAGTAAATGACAATATTTATATGCCAAATGTATGTCTGCATCTTATTTTAGGAGTAAGTCACCTATATTGCAGGAGTGACCGTTCTTTAATGAGGAAATGCTGTGCTGTATAGTAACCCTAAAAAGATTGCTTAGCACGTCCTTCCTTGGCCAACTGCTCTTACTCCAGAAGTGGGCTTTAAGGTGTGATCAGGGAGCAAAGCACGTGCCCTAAGCCCTCTGCAAGCAGAGGGAAGGAGTTTGAGGGAGCCAAAATCCAAAACTGACCTCACCTTTGTGTTGCTTTGGAGATGCTCCAGCCAGTGGCCTCCCAGCAGGCCTCTGGGGAGCAGAGATCTGAAAAAGATGAAATCTTTGTGTTAAATGAAGTCAGTTCTGTGGAGGACTGAAATTGTTTCTCAGGATCTCTGCTTCTCTAGAAATGTCTCCCATTGTCTTGAGTTCTAGTCTCCAAATTACCATGGATCTGAGAAACCTTCCTTCTTACTTACACGTCTGTCTTTCAAATCATTCCTTCTTCTTTCCTCGCCTTCCCTTATTCATCAGATATTTATTGGCCTCCTGCTCAGCACTGTTTCTAACTTACAGAATAAGAGCCATGTTATTACTCTTTATTTTTTCCCCTTTCCAGCAAAATGTGAGCCAGCGTGTCGTCATGGAGGTGTCTGTGTTAGACCCAACAAGTGCCTCTGTAAGAAAGGATATCTTGGTCCTCAGTGTGAACAAGTGGACAGAAACATCCGCAGAGTGGCCAGGGCAGGTATTCTTGATCAGATCATTGACATGACATCTTACTTACTGGATCTAACAAGTTACATTGTATAGTTTCTGGGACTGTTTGAATATTCTTTTCCAGTGGGCATTTATTTTTTATCCTGTCATTAAAAAGAAAGACTGTTATCCTGCTACACACTCCTGTGATTTCATTTTCTTTTATTAATTTAAAAATAATTTGCAGAAATGTGCAGATCCTCTGTGTGTATGTTGCACGTTTGTTCACACATGCACGCACACACCCACACTCACAACCCCTGTCCACGTGGTTGCATAACAGATGGGTTTTTAAAATATATACTTCCTTGTGTGGAGTAATTGACACAGAAATTCCATTGTAAATTGATAATGGAATTTTTATGTCACCATAAGAGAGTATTTGACTTCCCAGGAATTTTCTGTCTGTAATTACTGAAGTCAACTTTAATGAGGTTTTGAAACATCACTGTGCAATCTGATGGATCTAATAAAAAATGGCAATATTTTTATATTAAAAGACTATAATATGAGAGAATGTTTCAAAACTCCCTGATGAATTTCTAAATGAACAACTTGATAAAAAATTGTAATCTTCGTTTTTATCAATGTATCCCCTTGCAGAATGATACCTACCCACTTACCTTTTTATTTGGCAAAGCAATCTGGTTACTTTGGCTTAATCTCAAGATTGTTTTCAAATGTTTTATAATGAAATCATAACAGCCTATTTTTAAATCAAAACTTCCTAAAAGGTCTGCTCTTATTGTATATTTTATTTAACAATAGGCACTGGGTTTGTGTTACATATTTATATTTTTTATTTTATTTTTATAATATAGACATCACCTAGATGAAACACCTTTACCCTGTCCTGTAAAATACTAAAGTTACATTTTTCACCAACTTAATTGGAGAGAAGGGGAATGAGAAAGCAGTCTTTAATGTGCTGTGGATCTAATCTAACAATGTATCCTTTGCCAACATGTAATCATTAACGATGGATGAAAAAGCAAGAAAACAGCCAATCCTTATAAAATTGCAGCATTAAACATTTGTAAAGTGCCTCTCACCATAGCAGGACTGTCAGAGTATATGTGATTAGAATGTTACAGATTCCACACTGAATCGAACCTCACTGGAAGAGAGCTCACTCGTTTATATCAAATCTGGGCTGTGTAAGCTGTCACTTGTACAAATTTTTCATATAATAATTCTTGCCAAATATGAATTTTCATGTATATGCTCCTTTAGAACTCAATGAAAGTACTCTCTGGCTAATATATCAATAAATTTTCTGTAAATGTTCTGTTCAGGTTTTTAAAAGAAATGACCTGTTCCAACAAGACTGCAGAAAGCCTGGTACACCGTTTTCTTAATGGCCTTCCAGGCCACCTCTTCCCATTTGGATTCTAAAAAAATTATAAGGCCTCTATGCACTACTGAAAAAACACGTCCACCCGTGATAAGCACATACCCCACTGTAGCTGTCCTACTATAAACATTCACTCCTCTGGAATCTAAATTGTGGAAGTATAGATTATGCAGCTTTGGCTGACTTTCCAAACCTGCTTCTTACCTTTAGGAATATGAGCCTCAATTAAATTTTTTAAAAACATTTCATAGCTAGGACTTCTCTGTTGTTTCTAAGTGAGATGCTTACAATTAAAGCACAGTGAACATTTATATAGAAACCACAATGTAGAAAGATTGGTTAAGTACACTGCTCTTGTCTTCCATATATGATTACTTAAGTTTCAAGTGACCTCATGCCAAATGGAAATGGGTTGAGAAATCTTGGTTCAGTGCTTCGGGAACAATAGCCTGCATTAAAAAGTGCATGCATAATTTTGCACAATTTAGATTCAATTGGCAGTCTATTCAAAGAAGTCTCAGGATTAAATGAGCATGGAGACCAAATTGCCCTCTTACCCCAGAAAAGGGGTGGTCCCTTCTAGTCTCACTAACACTTCATTGGCCCAACAGTGTGACAAATCTTGCAATGAACCATGCAGTAGCCTGCATCTGTAGGTTAATAGCAATCTTTTGTCTCCATTGCTTTCTCTTCATAGCCCTTTTACTGAATTCCATCACAGAAAGTTTTACAATTAAAAAAAAATGTCCTGACAACCATTTTTGTAAATGGACCTTACCATCTAATCATCCCTTATTCAACGTGGGTGACATTAACAAAATGTGAACTTCTTGTGAGGGAGCCAGCTGTCTAAATCTGTCAAATCGTGCAGTTTTATTACACATTCTCCCATTCATAGTTTGAGTGAAAACAATAAGGATACTGCTATATAGTCAGTGAAATCTTAAAAATCAAACGTATCTTCTTACATCATTAATCTCTCCATCTCTTCCCCCAAAGAAAAGGTGTTCTATTGCCATTACTTCTCCTATTTAAAATAATCTATATTAAATTAACCAGACCCAGAGTTTTTTATAGGTCTGTTTCCCAAGTGAAAGAGTTTCAAGTGACTTGGAAAAACATATGTACCCCAGGTGTCACTGCCTTTTCTATTGTGAGAGAATAAAAGACCAAATTCCTCTAAAAAGGAGATAGCAAGATCCATGGGTATTAAACCCAAGCAAAGAAAGTCAAGCCTTTGGAGTCATTTCTTTCTGCTCTTAGGAGAAAAGTAGCAACCAAAGGTAATTGATGGCTACACATTTTAAATTAAGTGGCCAATTCGAGAAACTTTTTTGACCCTCTTTTTGAAGTAGATTTTTTTAAATGCATGACCTCAGTGATTTATGATGAGAGGCAGGTAGGAATTGGTTAAAAAGGATGAGTTAGGGAAAAGTAATTGTTTCATCACACAAAAGGCAAAATCTGCTCAGTTCATAAAGTATACAGTCTAAAATAGAAGAAAAAGCTCCTTGATATGAATCCTAATGTGTAAGGTAAATGTGAAACAATGAAGGGGACGAATGTGTATTAGGACGCCCTGTCCATTTCAGAGCTTAAGCGTCGGGTGTCAGTTGAATGTGGAATGATGCTTATGGTAGTTTCAAATATTTTGAAATAACCTTTCTACCACTGTCTCTGCCAAACTCTTGTCCTCATTCATAGAACCTTCTTTTCTTGACACTTACTTAAGATAATGAGACGAAAACAGAATTGGCAGATCACCAAAGTGAAAAGGAGGAAAAACTTAAGAAACTTAGGTGATGGCAGAAGTCCTTCCATTGATACCTTTTCTTCTTAGAATTTTATTGCAGTAGAGCTATTCTAAAGTATCTTATATTATTACAAAGAATACTCAGAAGTTTTCTCAGATTAGTGGATCTGTCTCATAAAGAGAGCAAAGAAACCCAGACATATAACATACACACACAGTCTGGCTAAAAACTATTCTCTGCATATCATTTATACTATACAGAATAGTCATTTATACAGAATAATCACTTCTGCACTTATGTGAAAATAATTACAGAATAATTTACTAAAATTTTTAAATCCATTTGTTTTCTATATTGTTTTGATCTCTGAATTATAACCCTACAAAAAGTAGACTAGGTGTAAGATTATTGGTCAGATGCTACATTTAGAGTCTTTCAAAGAACACATTAATTTAAACCTTTATTTGACTTAACTTCCTGTTAAGTCTCTTAGCCTTAACACATAAAAGAGGAGCCATGTCTAAATTTTTAAGAGGAAAAATAAAGCATGCCATGGGAAGTTGCAGTGGAGAGATTAACAAATGAGTTTCTGAGCATCTGTCTAGAACGTTACTGAAGATATCAGTCTTCTCCTGCCCTCTCCCCTCCCTCTGCCTCCACCTTTCCTTCTCTCTCTCTCTCTCTCTCTCTCTCTCTCTCTCTCTCTCTCTCTCTCTCTCTCTCTCAATCTCTTCCCTCTTCCCTCTCCTCTATTTTCTTTCAGTTTGGGCTAAATAAACCTGTCCTTACTATATCCATTAATTACATATCCTGGGCCAGTAGCTGTGGATTTGGCTCATTATGATCTTTTCTTTATTTTCCTGAAAAATACCCTCTTCTGGTATCACATTTGTTCAAATTCTGTACCATGAGGAAGAGTAGACAAATAACATACTAGATGGATCCATTACAGTCACTTAGAGAAATCATGATGAGCCACGTGGCTGCTGGTCCAGGAGCTCCCATGCAGCTAGTCTGTCGTAGCCACAGGAAAGACACTGAAACAGCCCCAGTCAATAGCTGAAGCTAACAGTCAGGAATAGGAGTAGCTGTTTCCTATCCAGCAATAGCCATCTCTCAGGAGTCTACTTTAAAGAAGATTATTCCAAATCTGTGGGGAAAAAAATAAGAAGAAGAAATAGTTCCTCTATGCAGGCTTCAGAATCTTCTTTCTCCACCCCTGGAGTTAAATTTGAACTTTGTAGAGAACTCAGATCAAAGTACCACGTCCAGAAAATTGACAGGCCTGTTCCTAGGAACGCAGCTAGAATACCTTCTGTAGAAAGTTCCTCTGAGACTATCAGAAATAAATGTTTGCTATCTTACCCTCTTTCTCTTTATCGCACCTCCAGTAATTAATATGATATCAGGAAGGTGGGAAACCTAGAAAAAGAAACATTTAGATATAAAAAACATGGCCGTGAGATTTGACAAATGCAAATGCCATCCAACTTCAGACCTTCTTCCTCTTGACTATTGCCTTTGAATAGTTTTTGTAAATTGCCTTCAAGGAACTTTTTAGGAAAGTGAGAGGCGTTTGTGGGAGTGTGAGGGAGTGTGTACACTCATGCCCTTCTTAGAACAGCAGTGTCCCTAGCTGCAATGGAGAGATTTGCTCACTTACAATTTTCTTAAATTCTTTATTAAATATGAGCCCAAGACACACCCATCATTTACCTTGCTTTCCCATACCATTTGTATAGGTCAGATACCAGTCAGCTGAAAAAACAAAATGAAAAAATAATGAATCTCTTGCATAAACATAAAACCTTACACCTAAAACCTGTTGTTCTTTTATTTAGCCAGACAACAGTGCATTAAAAATAAAATGCTACCAATTCAACATTAACTCAAAGATTACCTCCCATGTACATCATAAAGTCAAACATTATTTCTCATGTGGGGTTTTCTTTTTTATTTTGGACTATGTAGATTATTTATACTTAATCCAAAAATATATGTGTATGTGTACAGGCAAGTTAACATACATGTATGGTGAGTTATCTCAATTGACTAGAACCTTTTAAGTAAGCACACATATTTTAGCACATAGTACATACAGAATAGGAAAGACTATTCATACTGGCTAAATATAGCAAGCTTTTTTTCACAGTTAGAAACTAATTCTTGCACTAAAAAAGAACAAATCTCGCTGGACTGGGGATGTAGGCTCAGTAGTAGAGCACTTGCCTAGCATGTGCAAAACTCTGGGTTCAATCCCCAACACTGCAAAACCAAAACCAAAAAACTAGTTAGTAGCTTCCATTCAAATGAAGGAGGTATGATCAGGTTTGGAATGGTCTATGCCAAAATGTATGTTACATGCTTCTTCACTTAATACTCTAAATCTGAGACAAGACCTTCCTGGAATAAGTTAAGATTTCATGTGCAATAGGGTTCTTTTCATAATACCATTACCAAGAAGACAAACTGACAAACTTATAAGATACCAGATATTTCCCACATCTCATTAAAGTTATGAGTTGTGTTTGGACATGAGTTTCACCAGGAATCAGAAAGTAATAAGATAAATGATGCTGATGTCCAAGGAATTTATGGAACTTGATTCCCTATGCATGCCACAGTAGACTATTTATTTCAAAGACATCCATCTAGTTAGAATTTTTTAAATTGAATAATTATAATTTAAAAGCCTGAAAGAATATGAAAGGCAAACCCTGTGTCCTCTCTGACTTAATTAATTAATCTGTGATTAGTTTTGTCTGGTTTTAAAGATTGATTATTTGTTTCATTCTTCTAACGTATTTTGGTTTTCCTAGTTGTTCATTTTCTTTTAGACGGTTGAAAATTAGGGCAGTTTGTCCACAGCCTTACTCATGGAAGATTCCAGAACCCATTCATGTTTGGCACAAGACTGTAGGAACAATTAGTAAAATGAGGTCCAGGTTTAAAGGAGCAGAGTTAATACATGACCTAGTTGGGATTTCTACAAATGTTCTTTAGAAAAGTAACATGCAAAGTTATTGGTTCCCATAATCCCTCTGAGTTTGAACTGAGCTGATTTATTTAATCAAGTTACATAATATGCAATTCTCCTTGATTAATCTTCTACTATTCAGCCATTCATACATTTATTAACTCAAAAAAATATTTATTGAAGTGCCTAGCATGATTAAGTGCTATAGAACAGGCAAGGGCGTTTACAAGGATGGGGTTGTGAGCCCAATGGGTATCATGAACGTGTTGGAAGCAAAAGACAATTTCACGTCCAACCAGCTTCAATTCAGCTCAACATTAGAATACAGCATAACAGTACAGATGATCTAAAGAACATCTGTGTGTATCTGTATGTGTGCACACACCCATGTATATATATTTATCTCTGTACAAACACTACATATGTATACACACTATCTATGTAATATATAATATATGTATAATGCATATAAATTCTAACAAGTGTTATTTGTGTTATCTTTAAAAATAGATCAATTGTATCTTGAAGTGGTAAATGCAAAGAATTGGTTTTATTGTTGATCTGTGGATTTAATGATTTTTAGGTGAAAAGGATGTTTAAGTGTATAATTTCCTTTCTTAATTTAATATATTTATGTAAATGCATGCCTGAAATTGGATTAGATTGGCTGTGTTTTGTGTCTTAACGTGATCAAATGTATTAAACTTTATCTTATGACTCAATGTATATGTGCTATTTTAAAATTCTTTTTTACTTAAGAATTTAAAAAATAATCCTGCATATCCAGATTGATTTTTATAAACACCAAATTTTAAAGTGTTTTATGCCCAACCTACTTCCAAATTTTCTGCTTTTGTCAAAACCCCCCTGTCTTCCTGGATAAATGTATCTCATTGATTCATTAAAAGACAAGGCTGTTTCTCTGTAAGAGGTTACTACTCCTGAGAGATTAAAAATGTGTAACAAGGTGCTTTTTTTACAAAGTGTCCCCTAGAAGTTTGAAATTAGGCAAGGTGACACCACGGAAGGCGTCCTTCTGCTGATTCCCACAGAAAGCTCCAGATTTCTCCTTCAGACCCTGCCCTTCTGGCTATTAGAATTTGTCCCCCTGGGGCTAGGGTTGTGGCTCAGTGGTAGAGCGCTCCCCTAGCATGTATGAGGCTCTGGGTTCAAACCTCTGCACCACATAGAAATAAAATAAAGGTATTGTGTCCACTTACAACTAAAAATATATATTAAAAAAAAAAAGAATTTGGCCCCCTAACTTAGCCCAGGAGCACCTCTTTGATTCCTGTGTGTGTCTGTTCCTTTTTTTGAATCCCTGGCAGACTAGAACAGTTCCTGCGCAATAACGCAGGTGCCATCCAGCCATGGAAGTGAGTTCATGCTGTGGCTAATTTCTCTGAGTTCCTTCCCTGACCCATGTTTGGCTTCTTAACTCTGCTATCGACCAGTGTAACCAGTTCCCTGCTTTAAATTCCCTGTGTTATACACATTGCAGTTTTTCCACATCCCTTTTTTATATCCTGATTCATCCAGATTCATACATATATTAATAAGAGTGGCAGACACGGAGGAGAAACGGTGTGGAAGAACTAAAAGGGTACAAGATGGGGCTGGAGTGTGACGCAGGGGTAGACCACTTGCCTAGCATGGGCAAGGCCCTGGGTTCCATTCCCAGCATCACAAGTAAACAGATTAATCAGTCAATTAATCAATTTAAAAGGGGCTCGATGGAGTCTGCTTTAGGAGAGCACATTACTAAGGCCACGGTGATCCCAGTACCCCAATGTGAGCAGTGAAATGAGGCTGGAGGGTTCCGACTTCCAAACCTGATGCAGATCCCTTGGTTTCCAAGGCAGCTACTAGTGGGAAAGGTCATTATTTCCACAGTTGTCACTGAGAATTTTCGTAGCTCACATTTGTACTGTTGCAACAATCAGCTGCCAGTTTCCTCGGGAGTCTGACAGCTAATGGGATAGATATTTTTATGAACAGGCTCCTTTACGCTTACTTGCTTTTTAAAAGAAACTTTGAGGCCAATGTACTATTTCCAATGGAAATATAATTTAAAATACCAACCACAGGTAGTACCTCATCAGAACAACAACAACAACAAAATAGTTTTATTTTGTTTTGTTTTGTTTCTTCTCTTTGGAATTCCAAAGAGGCCTCTCTGGAGACTAAATCCTACCATCCTTCAAAGAACTGAGAGGATAAAAGGAAGGAAAACAATTTGCATGAAATGTTTCTTCTGAGTTTTCACCATTTGATTTATGTTTGATTTCTATGCACTATTTTCTATGATTAATAAAAAGAATTTAAAAGGAGAAAGGAGGGGGTTGGGAGAGGGAGAAGGCTGGGTAGGTCCTGACTATAAAACTCATTCTACTTGGGATTATGCCAGCATCAGAAACTACTTGAGCTCACTCTTGTAATTTAATAAGATGTTGTCAGATCCCTTTGACATATTTATGGCCTTATAATTAAACCTCCTTGATGCAAAATCCATGTGCTTCATGTAAAGCTTATCATAGACACTCTGTCCTATGATCTACAGCTACCAAAGCCACACATGCCAGGTGTATTGGCAGGGTCCCTGGGCCAAAATTGCAAGATGTGGACGCTGGGTCGCCAATTAATTATGCAGTTGGTCTTGGGTATATCTCTCACTGCACTGACAGCTTCCTTATGTAAAATATAAGAGATTCCTTTTAGATCTAACAGGTATCATGAAATATTGCTAATTCCAGTATCCATGTGGATTGCAAATTTGAAATTACCAATTTTACTAGAGATATAAATGAGCCACTTCACTTCATTGATTTTTTGGTGGTTAAATAATTATAAAAGACATTCAGGAGGTTGAGGCAGGAGGATCGAAAATTCGAGGTCAGCTTCAGCAATTTAGCAAAATCCTGTCTCAAAATGAAATAAAGGACTGGGGATGTAGCTCAGAGGCAGAACTACATCTCTAAGTGTGGGAGGGAGAAGGACACTTACTAATTTTCCTCTGGTCTGCTTTCCTCTGATGTATTCTTGAATGTTCATCTTCTGTTCCTTCCATCCTGGCCTGGCTCATTCTTAAGTCCGTTCATGTCATCTAAACCTCTCACTCTGTATTCACTCTAAACACTGTCCCATCTGTACCCATTATTTCCTTCATGCTGAGAAGTGCACAGTTACGGGAAGCTGCCACTCTCTCCAGAGACCTTCATGACTGGTTTTGCAACTGTTGGAAATATCACTGTTTCTTTCATAAGCTATTCCCAGAAGACTGCTGTAGGCACCCACCCAACAGCTAATAGCATATTCTGGGCACATACAAGGGCATAAATGCCTGGTTGATGTCACCTAAAAGGTGTTCAAGATACAGAAGAGTAACTATGAAGACCATTCCGCTCATGCTGCCCTGACAAAGTACCTCTCACTGGGTGGCTTAACCAACAGAAATTTACAGTCTCACTGTTCTAGAAGCTAAATGTCCAACATGGAGGTTTCAACAGGATTGGTTCCTTCTGAGGGAAGTAAGGGAAGATCCATCCCAGGTCATCTTTTCCCTGTTTCCTCTTTGTATCACCTTTTCTTTCTGTTCTTTTGTTTTGTTTGTTTGTTTTTTTAAGTTAATTTTCGTCCTTTGCTAAGGACACAAGTCATACTGGATTAAGGACCAACCTAATGACCTCATTTTAACTTGAGTCCCTCTGTTGAGACCCTATCTCCCAATTAGGTCACATTCTCAGATACTGGGGTTTTGAACTTGAACATATGAATTTGAAGCGTGGGTTGGAAGTCACACAATCCCACTCCTCCATAACACCATGGCTATAGTACAATAATATTCCATTGTACAACAATAGTACAATAATATTCCACTGTCTGAATGTACCTGAATGATTTCATACTTAGGAGAAGTCTCATATTCATTGTCTAAAGCAGTGCTTCTCAAACTCGAATGTGCCTTCATTTACTTGGGGACATTGTTAAAATACAGGTTCTGATTCAATAGGTCTCAGGCAGAACCTCAGAGTCTTTCTAACAAACTCCAAGGTTGTGTTCATGTTGCTGGTATGAGGGCCATGCTTAGAGGAGCAAGGGTGGAATTCTGTTTAACTTCAGAATAGTAATACTAGAAATGACCTAAAGGCAACATGACTTTCTGCCTCCACAAAGGAAACAATGATATGACCTGTGGGTTTGTCATCTTTCTGTTACTGCAACAAAATACCCGAGATAATCAACTTATAAACAGGAAATGTTTCTTTGGGTTTATAATTTCAGAGTTGTCAGTCCGTGATTGTTTGGTCTCATTGCTTTTGGACCTGTGGTGAAACAGCACATCAGGGTAGGAGCTCATGGTGAAAGGAACTGCTGACCTCATGGCTGGAAGCAAAAAAATAGAGTAAGAGAACCTTGTTCCACAATCCCCTTCAAGTGCACTCCCTCAGGGACATAAAACCTCCCACCAGGCCCCACTTTTTAAAGGTTCCATACCTCTCAGTAGTGCCAAGCTGAGGACCAAGCTTTTAACATGGAACTTTGGGAGACATTTCACATAAACACTTAAGTTTTCTCTGTGCCTTTTGTGACTTGAGAATTCATTTCTTTTTAGTGATGAATAATATTCCATTGTCTGAATGTACTGCAGCTTATTTATCCATTCACCTACTGAGGGATATCTCGATTGCTTCCAAGTTTGGGGATTTATGAATAAAGCTACTATGAACACCTGGGAACAGGTTTTTGTGTGGAAATGATTTCAATTCTTCTGAACAAATACCAAGGAGTTCAATTACTGGATCATATGGTAACATTACATGTAGTTTTGTAAAATATTGCCAAACCTTCTTCCCCAGTGGCCATACTACATGGCATGTCCATCAAAAATGAATGACAGTCCCTGTTGCTCCATATCCTCACCAGTATTTGGTTTGGTTTTTTTTTTTTAGTGTGTACTGAATTTTCAGAAATAAAGTTGTATAAATTCATTCCAATACCAAGATATCTGGAACAATGTCAAAAAATGCCATAGAAGCAAATTTGATTCTGTTCACTAAAGAATCATATCAACTATCAAATATTTATGGACTTTTTAAAGCAGGTCTAACTAATAGAATCCTCTGGGATGGTGAGATTTTCTATATCTATACTGTCCAATGGGATAGCCACTAACCACAAGTGGCTGTCTAAAGCTTGAAATGTGGCTGGTGTAAGTAAGGAACTGAATATTAACTCTAATAAAATTCAAATTTGAGTTGTCTTAGTCCATTTCATGTTGCTAAAACAGAATAGCACAGACTGAGTAATTTTTAATGAATAGAAATTTATTTCTCACAGTTCTGGAAGCGAGTGTGTACACATCAGGGTGTTGGCATCTGGTGAGGATGATTTCTTGCTGCCTCATCAAAGCATCACATAGCCAGAAAGCAAATGCATGCAAACTTAGATCTCTCTTTCTCTTCTTGTGAAGCCACTAGTGCCATCATGGGGACCCATCCTTAGGACCTCTAGTGTATTCCTAATTACTTCCTCACCTCCAAATACTATCAACTTGAATTTGGAGACTAAGTGTTCAACAGACGAATTTTTGAGAGACACATTCAAACTGTATCACCCATATTAAAATAGTATGTTATTGTAATAATAGCTAACACTTGTATAGTACTGCATTCCAGGTACCTATGGTAAGAACCATCAAGAATGTGATGACAAGTCCGAGATT